AGGGAAGGGAAGGGAAGGGAAGGGAAGGGAATGGGAAATGGGAAATGGGAAATGAAAAAGGAAAGAAAATGGGAAATGAAAAAGGAAGGAAATGAAAAAGAAAAGGAATATGCAGAGCACCTGCATGAAAGGAACAGGAAGAGGAAGTGGAGCACAGCAAAAGGGAACAGAAAAACAACAGGGAAAAGGGAAAAAAGTAATAGGGAATAAAGGGAAAGGCAAATAACAGGAAAGGACCTGCAGTAGTTTCCAGCGCATGTTGAGGTTGTCTAACTGGCGGTTGGTGGTGGAGGACAGCTGGACATCCAGTGGGGTCAGCTGACCTGCCAGATCATTCACAGCCCGGACATCCTGTTTCAGAGGTGCAATCTCATCCCGGAACGCCTGAAACACACACACACACACAGAGAAATAAATCACATTACCGCCTTTATCTCTGCATATCGCCCAAACACAAACTTAAATAAATCATCAGCCAGAGTGCTTGGCAATGACTCATACAGTACCATGTGTGAGAGGTGTAACAGAGTCATCGTGGGATAAAACTATAAAAATAGCTTCAGGCAGGAAAATGATTAACTAGAATAATCCTTAAAGGAATAGTTCACACAAAAATGGAAATTCTGTCACTATTTACCCTACCTTGTGTTCTTCAAAACCCAAAGGATTATGTTTCTACTGTGGAATGAGTTAAGGAGGAGATGTTAGACTGGATGTTCACATAGCTCTTGTCCATAAACTGGAAATAAAAAATTACCAGAGTCTGTCATACTCCAAACACTACACAATTGTATTATCTTTTAGGGTGCTTTTTGTCATTTTTGAAGCTCGACAACTGCTATTTCCTGGTATTGAAAAGCATCCTAATGAACATCTTTTTTATGCTCCACAGAAGAAAGTAAGTCATACAGGTTTAGAATTAAATGGAGGTGAGTAAATTCAATTCAATTCAATTCAATTCACGTTTATTTGTATAGTGCTTTTCACAATACAAATCGAAATTTAAAGTTTCTACATTATATTTAGGAGTAGCTCCTAAATATGATAAATGATGACAGAATTATAATTTTTAGATGTAATAATGGCAACATTTGTGAATAAGACCAGTTTTAGGCTCACCGTTGTTTTCTCTATGTGATCCTGTAGGGAATCTATGAGAAGGTCTCCCACGGGTTGCCATCCAGCTTTGAGCTCCTCGGCCTGGGCTAGACGCAGGTCCAGTTGGTCCATGGAGCTCTGGAGATACTGGAGTTTATCTAGTGCTCTGTCCACCTGCTCTTGCCAGGTGCCCGCGTGTCCCATGAGCCTCTCCCAGCGCTCGCCCACCTCTGCAGTCTGCTTACGGATCGCTTTAGCCACCCGCTGGGCCTTCTCCTCTGGGCTCAGCTCTACGAAAAACCACAGACGCAAACTCCATTTAAGTCATGTCTTCACTTCAGTTGACCTCAATTATGTTCATTTTGGAAGCTTTTGTAATAAAAGGTAAATTCAGCAGGCAACAAGGCATTCTATTATTGGGATGGAACAATCGAACAATCTGGTCTCAGCCTGATTGAGTAAAAGTACAGATATCTTACAGCGAAAACGACCATTACAAGTTACATTCCATTCCATTACAAATCACCATTTAAACAGTAAGTGTTTTACTCATACTGCATGTAGGCTCAAAGGTGCACTAGTCCTCAACCCCTAAGATAATTTTCAGTGAAAAACAAGAGACAGCTGATTTGTCAGAATCAGAAAGAGCTTTATTGCCAAGTGTGCTTAACACACACAAGGAATTTTTCTTGGCGACAGAAGCTTCCAGTACACAGACAGGTTGACAAGTGACAAGACACAGATAACAAAAAATTTAAATAAGTGAGTAAAAATAAATATGTAAAAACAATACACAATAGACAAGAGACAATAAAAAGTATATTGTATGTACAGATGTGCTATAGACAAATTATGCAAGGGAATGTGGGTAGATGTAAAATATATAAGTCACTAGCATACGTATAATAAATGTAAGTATAGATAGTCGGGTATTGCACATTTTTTATTGCACAGTGGCGAGAACATTTAACTGTTCATGAGGTAGATGACCTGAGGGAAGACACTTTTCCTATGTCTGGCTGTTTTGGTGCTCAGTGCTCTGTAGCACCGGCCAGACGGCAACAGTTCAAAGAGGGAAAGTGCTGGGTGTGAGGGGTCCAGAATGATTTTACCAGCTCTTTTACTAACTCTGGATGAGTGCAGGTCTTGGAAAGTGGGGAAGGTTGTGCCAGTGATTTGCTCAGCTGTCCGGATTATCCGCTGCAATCTTCTAAGGTCTGATTTGGCAGCTGAGCTGAATCAGACAATTATAGAAGTGCAGAGGACGGATTCAATGATGTCCGAGTAGAACTGTGTGCACAGCTCCTGTGGCAGGTTGAACTTCCTCAGCTGGCGAAGGAAATACAACCTCTGCTGGGCCTTTTTCACAATGGAGTCAATGTGAGTGTCCCACTTCAGGTCCTGAGAGATTGTGGTGTCCAGGAACCTGAATGACTCCACTGCAGCCACAGTGCTGTTCATGATGGTGAGTTGGGAGAGAGCAGGAGGGTTGCTCCTGAAGTACACTATCATCTCCACTGTTTTGAGCGTGTTCAGCTCCAGGTAGTTATAACTGCACCAGACAGCCAGTTCTTTAACCTCCTGTCTGTAAGCAGACTCGTCACCGTCCTGGATGATGCCGATGACTGTAGTGTCGTCCGCGATCTTGACAACTTCGCAACGAGCTTGACAGAGGTGTCTTTAGAGGTGCAGTTGCTTGTGTAGAGGGAAAAGAGCAGTGAGGAGAGAACACATCCCTGAGGGGCACCAGTGCTGATGATGCGGGTGTTGGATGTAAATTTACCAATTCTCACTAGCTGTTGTCTATCTGTCAGAAAGCTGGTGATCCACTGACAGATGGAGCTAGGAACAGAGAGCTGGGTTAGTTTGGTCTGGAGGAGGTTTGGGATGATGGTGTTGAAGGCCGAACTTAAGTCCACGAACAGGATCCTTGCATAAGTCCCTGATTTGTCCAGATGTTGCAGGATGTAGTGCAGTCCCACGTTGATTGCATCATCCCCAGACCTGTTTGCTCGGTAAGCAAACTGCAGGGGGTCCAGCAAGGGTCCTGTGATGTCCTTCAGATAAGCCAACACCAGTCTTTCAAAAGACTTCATAACCACAGACGTTAGAGCCACAGGTCTGTAGTCATTAAGTCCAGTAATTTTGGGTTTCTTTGGGACGGGGATGATGGTGGAGCGTTTGAAGCATGAAGGGACTTCGCACAGCTCCAGTGATCTGTTGAAGATCTGTGTGAAGATGGGGGCCAGCTGGTCAGCACAGGATTTAAGGCAGGCTGATGAAACACAGCCTGGGCCTGGTGCTTTCTTTCTCTTCTGCTTCCAGAAGACCTGACGCACATCATCTTCACTGATCTGAAATGCAGAAGTGGGGGAGAGGGGGGTTGCTGGAGGTGTTGATGGCTGTGTAGAGAGTCAGGGCGGGTGTGGGGTGTGAGACCAGGAGTTTCAAATCTACAATAAAACTCATTCAGGTCTTCAGCAAGCTGTTAATTCGCCTCAGTGCTGGGGGATGGTGTCTTGTAGTTTGTGATGTCTTTAAGACCATTCCACACTGAAGCAGGGTCGTTGGCTAAAAACTGGTTTTCCAGCTTTTTAGCGTAGCTCCTCTTAGCCACTCTAATCTCCTTATTCAGTGTGTTTCTGGCCTGATTATACAAGACCCTGTCCCCACTACTGAATGCATCCTCTTTGGCCTGATGAAGCTTCCTGAGTTTTGCTGTGAACCATGGCTTGTTGTTATTGTATGTTAAATGAGTCCTGGTAGGAATGCACATATTCTCACAGAAACTAATGTATGATGTTACAGAATCTGTGAGCTCATCCAGATCATTGGCAGCAGCTTCAAAAACTCTCCAATCAGTGCAGTTGAAACAGGCTTGTCAAAATTGTGAGGAGAGCAATCACATTTATTTTCTTAAATAAAAAATTAAAACTTCAAAACTGCAACAAATTAAGGTTGACTCAATAGCCTCTTAAACGTCTACAAACAAACAACCTTCAAAAAGCTCTCGGCCATGTCCGCCTCTCATATATGAAACACCTGCGATTCACAACTACCTGCCCCTGCACTTGCATTTGCGTAAAAGTTGCCTTGTTGACAAGTTTGGGTGATTGAGACATAGTACCTTCAATGCCCTGTAGATGGCAATATCATTTCTTTTGTATCAGAAATAAACTGCTACAGAAACAGTAGGGTGTCATGCAAAATCTACTGGTGTACACAATACACATACTTATTCAAAAATGTCAAGTAGAGAGTAAAAGTTTCTACAATTTTTGATACTCAGTAAAACTACAAAGCAGCCAAAAACATACTCATGTACAGTAACTAATTACATTTACTCAAATACTTTATACCTCTGATTTAACGGCCATAATGGATCATTTACCTTAGATTTTGGAAATAAATGAGTTTGCTTTGAATTTAAAGGATACAATCATTTGTGTGTTCCATGACAGACTGTATCAGTCGCTTTTGAATATGTTAAAGTGGTGTCATTCATTAATCTGATGTGTATTCATCCATTTGCCGTGAGTGTGAGACAGCAGTGCTATTGCAAAGAGAGTCTGCCTACACACTCGTTTGATTGGCTGTAATTTTGATTGATTTCATCGCATCTCATATCCAGACAAACTGCTTGTTTATTGAATCTCATCATATCAGTTAGAAGATTGCCACATACTGTCTGGAACACCCTTCGCGTTTGGGATACACCTACGGTAGGATTCCTAAAATGTTGCCGATGGGATGCTTGCTAGGTTTCAGAATAGACTGATACAAACAGTCTCACATTTATCAATACGACCACAACTTGACTTTTCAAGTTTTCCACATTGCAACTGACCGTGTTTAGAGAACATGATCGGTGCACGGTCACCTAAGAAAGTGTTTACTAATGAGTCCACTCAACTAATGTACTAAATAGAGAGGGGTTTACAGACGACGGGAGGCAGATGTTTGGGCAATTTAGAAAGTGCCTAGGGCATGTCTATAGGCAGGACTACAGCATTAACAGCTGCTCTTTCATTCAGCTTCCAGGCTTTCTGAGGACGTGAGAAGACACTTTAGCTAATGTCACCGTCACAAACGGCAGGACTGATTTCTCCATTCGGCAAACGCTCACGTATATCTTTCATCTTTATATTTCTGTTTCAGGCGTGTGAGAATCAATTTACAATTCAAATGCGTTCAAGCGTTTCTGGACAGGTTTGAAATTCAATTAAGAACCAGGGGTTGAATGGAAATGAAAGTGACGGTGTGGCAGTGGCTTGTTTATGCTCGTTTGATGACGAACACTGGAACAGATTGCTTTGCATTTTAAAACATACAGTTCAATTTGGAAAACATGCATTTGCGTGAACATTAGTGGTGTATGATTTTATCTGGGTAAGCTGCTCCCGCTGTGTGTTTGCGTGGGGCGGCAGAGCGCGTGAGCTGGTTATCGGTTCAGATAGCTGAGCTCTGCGCTTTGATCGCAGGGATAAGAGAACATGGAAGCATCATGAAAGATCACTCAAGGACTCAATGGAGGCATGTGAGATTGCTCTAGGTGTTCAAAGTGAGGCATGTGGAGATAGATCAGAAAACACTGCCCTGCTGAACCCAGCTGACTTCAATAGGAAAAAATTTGAAAGTGCAAATTTGTGGTAAGAATATTAAATAAGTATATAAGCCGAGTCACACTGAATCTGCACCTTCAAAATTCCTTGATTTACATGTTTTCTGCATGTTTATTTCAGGGCTTGTAAATATATTAATTAAAATAAAATATAAGATTAATATAAATAATATGAATGCAAAAATATAATATAAAATATTTTATTATATAATATTATTAATATTATATCACTACTATATAATAATAACAACACAATTAAATAACATAGATTATGGAAGCCCTTTTCCACCACTTAATAAAAAAATAAAATTTGTGAATTTTTCTCACATTTCTGACTTTTGTTCTTGCAATTGCGAATTTACATCTCGCTATTCTGACTTCTTTTCTCAGAATTGTGAGATATAAACTCACAACTGCGTTTTATAAAGTCCGATTCTGTGAAAAAAAAGACTATTTTCTTACAATTCCGAGTTTATATCTCACAGTTCTGACTTTATTTCTCAGAATTACGTTTATATCACACAATTCTGTCTATAACATGCAATTGCGAGTTTATATCTTGCAATTCTGAGAAAAAAGTCATAACTGTGATATAAAAAGTATTTTTTTTTTTCAATTAAATGGGCTTCCATAACAGCTCACTATGATTTATGATGATTAATCACAAAGGAAAGGGGAAAAACATTAACATCGCCTCATTAACAAAGAAGTGAAAAAATGCTGATTTAAAGCAGCACTATGTAACTTTTGTCGCTCTAGCGGTTAATAAACAGAACTGCACACATCCCGCGGAAGAACATTCCAACCAGAGCTACTTCTCTAAGTTTATGTCTATGGCGAAGTGTACCGTAGTGATTCGGAATAAGACAAAAACACGGTTTGGAAAATGAATTCATGATGTACTCGCTCATTATGTACATTTAGCAAATTTTGAACACAGAAAAAGTTACATAGTGCTGCTTTAACTGTACCTTATTTAGTCTAAAATTGCACTTTTCTTCGTAGCCCAGTCTGTTTAAATATTTAGCCTAATTTGATAATGCTGTCAGACACAACATCTTTGTGTTGCACAGAGTTAGGAAAGTCAAATCTAAATCTCTAATACAGGTTACAGCACACCTCTCCTCAAGCGGCCACATGATTTGAGATGTCCTTTATGTCTGTAGCTCAGGACGTAACAGTTCAGGACGAGTTACACAGAAAAGTAAAAAATCAGTTTAATGTTTGTTTCAATCACTAAGCCTCAGTACAGCCAGCAGTAATAGTTCTGCTTGCCTTAGTGAACACTTTCAGCTCTAGATGACTTTGGTGTTTTCTGAAAGACAGAAAACACTGAGCTTCAGGACTCTGAAAAGTGGAAATATCCAGCAGTCTCTGATCTGCCAATTAACCCGGTTTCGCTGGGCATTCGCACACTCCTCCTAAACGTCTGCGCATGCCTACGCACATACACACACTTCACAAGCAGCTCTCTTTCTATCTGATAAGCGATGTCTGACGTTCGTCCTAAATTAGCTTTTCAAGCGGGTCCCAGCGGAAGTGTCCAGAGAGCCGTGGAACTTCAGATACTGCAGTTAAGAGTGTGTTGACAGGAGGTGTCCGACTTATCAGAGAGTCACTTACATCAAAGAGCATCCCTCAGAGAGTGTCAAAATAAACTCCGCTGGTCTGGATGATGTGTGTGTGTGTATAATGTTCTCATACTGATCTTAAGTTTCTGCAGAGGGGTTTTTAAGTGCAGAATGTTTACTGTAAAGGTTTCTCTCTCCTTGCTTCATAAAGCATGTGACTTGACAAGACTTACGCATTTCTTCCCTTTCCTCTCTACTTTTATTTTCATTAAACATATGGGAGGATGGCAGGATGAAGAAATAATAAGCTCTCACCGGTTTTGGGTTGCAGGTTTTTGCGTGGCTCTTCGGGTCCTTCGATCGGCTGGTCGGCCAGAAACATGCGTGCCTGATCCAATGTGCTGAGAACTAAATGCTCACGCTCCTTAAGCTCCGCCCTCAGAGCCTGAAAACACAATCAGTTAACATCACATCACATCCCGTCAATCAGTCATTAACAGAGCTTAAAGAAAGAAATCAGCAGAAATAAGAAAGAAAAAAAATGGGTGGGGAAAAACAATTATCGTTAAGAAAACAGTCGACCAATTAACAGAGAAATAAAAAGATAAATAGATGGATGGACTAGATAGAGAAACTGACAAATAAAAAAACAGAAATGTATGGATGGATGGATAGACCGACAGACAGACAGAGAGAGATACAGATGGATGGACAGACAGACGGACGGGATGGATGGGATGGACGGACGGGATGGACGGATGGATGGACGGATGGATGGACGGGATGGACGGATGAATAGATAGAATTAACAACAGTTTTGCCAGACTACTTTTGGCTTACTTTTCATGTATTACATTCAGCCACAGTCCGTCATTTTCTGACAGTATACGTTCATTGTTTATGTAAGCCAGCACTCCATCCAAGAGTGTGTGTGTGTGCTTGTGTGTGAGCAGGAGATCAGTGAGCGCAAAATGAAAAACAAAGAGATCAAGAAAAGGTGAGAATGAGGGCAGTGAAGGACTGATAGGGTGCACATATAAAACGGACATTGAAGTGCAATTGCAAACACAATCTCCGAGGTCAAACGAGGCATTTCCGCAGGGTCGCACGCAAATTAGCCAAACTAATAGCCATTCTCTAACTCTGACAAAACTAATTCCTGCCTTCAGGCAGCACAGGACTTCTGCACAGTCAGACACACACACAATTAAATGAACAGCCAAATCTCAGCGGAGAGGAAAACTGGATTACCATTCCTCTGATAGTTGGGCCCCTCAGGCTCGACTGGAGAGCAGGGTTACGGCACCCTCCACACTTCTGAAACGGTCGTTAAACAGAGCCGGAGGAAGTGATAAGCCTTTTAATTACATCCTGCTACAGTAAACCTAGCGAGCACCAGCCGCACATTAGAGGCCCGTGATGAGGACAGAGAGGAAGAGGAGCGGTCCATTAAACAGCATTACGGAGATGTTAAGGACCGATATTAAAAAAATCATGAAGATTGGAGTAAGATGGAGAAAGAGACACATATAAGGTCAAAGAAGAACCTCATATACGAGCGCGTGTGTGTGTGCAGCTCGCTGGATGATACACAGCAATGGACAGACTGCACTGCTTTACTACTCTGAAGACTACTGGGATAAGGATGTAAACTAGTGAATATCACCTACATTTTTGTGTGTTTTAGCTATGGCAGTGGTCCTGTAGTATTGAGTTCTGTAGTATTCTGTCGTGCCGCGCCGCTCGCGTCCGGTGTAACATTGGTTTTGCTTTGTTTCACAGAACTAATCATTGCCTGGGTTGCGTACGAATGTGTGGGGCGGAGCTATCAAAATAGGGGCGAGACCCTTTTGGGGTAGGTGCGTGTTTGTTTTGGTGATTTCAAATATCAACATTGGTTACCAGAAATCGCTTACCCCACATTTAAAACAATTCCTATTCACACGGATCCACTGAAACTACTAAAAGTGCAGTATTATGCATGCCAGGCCAGTAGATGGCGATGACTGAACACATAATACGCATGTGCACGACGTAAATCATTTTCACAAATTCGCTTTTTTGTAGTGTACATAGAGACGATTATGGTATAGTTCTCAAACACTTGCACTTTAAAACCCAATTTCAGAAACGCTGTTGTCATGAAAATTAATGGCCAAAATGCAAAAAGGTTTTCTGTTTTTAGCTGAAAACGATGTTGTGTAAACACCCTTTTAATCGGACAAATTGTGACTCACCTCAACAACTGTACACATCTCTGCTTTGCAACAGTCCTTAAGTTCTTCCTCATCCTGAGTAGTTTGGGATAAACCACGCTTTGCTTTTTACTAATGTTTGCTTTTTGCTTCTTCTTCTTCTTTTGACTTGACCACTGATGAGACGATTATGGTATAGTTCTAAAACACTTGCACTTTAAAACCCAATTTCAGAAACGCTGTTGTCATGAAAATTAATGGCCAAAATGCAAAAAGGTTTTCTGTTTTTAGCTGAAAACGATGTTGTGTAAACACCCTTTTGATCGGACAAATTGTGACTCACCTCAACAATTGTACACATCTCTGCTTTGCAACAGTCCTTAAGTTCTTCCTCATCCTGAGTAGTTTGGGATAAACCACGCTTTGCTTTTTACTAATGTTTGCTTTTTGCTTCTTCTTCTTCTTTTGACTTGACCACTGATAGTCACAAAAATAAATACCATGGTTTAGACCGTATAACCTTAACCAGCCTAAATATACAGTTTCATTAAAGGCTTAGTTCACCCAAAAATGGAAATTCTGTCATTCTCACCTTCATGTCATTTCCATAAGACTTGGGTTCAGCTTCGAAACCCAAGTGAAGATTTTTTTTATGAAACCTAATGAAAGATTTCTGCCCCGCCACTGAAAGTCCATTGACGCTTTAAAAAGTTGATAAAAACATTGTAAAAGTAATCCATATGAATCCAACAGATTCACATAAACACTGATGGCGTATAAACAGTGATCAACATGCATATATTAACAGAAGGTCAACTGTACTTGCTTGACATGCAGGAGCCAGTGAGGTCGGTTCTTGCACATTAAGGATGTTTGAGCTTCCATAAAGCATATTTGATGTGATCTATGCATATACATTTTTATTACGTCTAAAGTATTTCTGTTTATCATAAAGAGGGTGTAGTAATGTTTTGCCCATGTGCCACTGCATTTGGTTTAATCACTTTCAACTCATTCAAAAATAAGAAAATGAGAACTTTTCAGATTAAGAAAAAGTTAATAAACATTTTTAAAAAGATAATCCGATGGATGTGGTTGATTTTCCAACCATCATATATATATGGTATTGCCTCCATCTTGGCTCTATCAATCACAAAATAAAAGTCCTCTTCCAACTAAATAATCTTATTTATAATAAAATATGACATCAAATAAAGCACACAATTTATATATTCACAAATATATGCTAAATGGCGCCAACAAAGTGATGGTGTGTCTTCAGAAGACTAAACAGCTCGATTCATATGGATTACTTTTATGATGTCTTCATGAACTTTTTTAAAGTTTGAAAGTTTCGGACTTTCATTAAAGGAACAGAACTATTTCAGGTTTCATGAAAAATATTTCCGTTTGGGTTTTGAAGATGAATGGAATTATTATGGGTTTGGAACGACATGAGGGTGAATAATCATGACCATTTTTATTTTGGGGTAAACTATCCCTTTAAGATGCCTCTTGTAGCTGAAACATGCTTTAGTAAACTCACCTTTTTTAATATATGATGCAATATCTCAAAACAAAAAATAGACACAAAGACAATATTTAAATGGAATTGTAGACAGCGCTTTGGGGGTTCACCACTTGGTGTTTGGGACATGGTGCTACAGCCTAAATGGTTCAAAATGGTTTCCAAACATCTGTCCACTGTAGTGGACACCATGCGTGAAAGGGTTAAGCAATTTTGTTGTTCTTTTTTGCACAAAGCAGAAAGCTTTTAGCGCTGCAGCAAAAATAAATAAAAGCCCACAGATGAGTATTAGGTGTGTGACACTTTTTCTGTATATTATTGTTCTTGTGCTGTCAGAGAGAATGATGGGAAATCATTTTTCTATACAAGCAAGTCACTTTATGGTGTCCTTGCACATATCATGATAACAGTGTTTCTGGGTTTACTTGCTTCACAAACTATATTCCTGTTTGACTCTGCTTTGACACAACCAGCATTGTATAAAGCGCTATACAAATAAAGGTGACTTGACTTGACATGGACACGGCACATACAGATATAGACTACACTATATATAAAAAAATACCATTGATGTTACAGGTTCTCCACGACACCACAGAGTGTTTGGGGTCTGTGATTTTTAAATGTTTTTATTATTACTACAATTTAAAATACTTATTTTTCTATGTTAATATATTTTAATGTAATTTCTTCCTGTGATCAAAGCTGTATTTTCAGCATCATTACTCCAGTCTTCAGTGTCACACGATCTTCAGAAATCATTCTCATATGCTGATTTGCCACTCGAGAAACATTTCTGATTATTTATTTATTTTCAGGATTATCTGATTAATGAAATGTTCAAAAGAACAGCATTTATTTGAAACTGACTTTTTTGTTGCAGCATTATAAATGCAGAAACTGTACGGACAACATTAGCAGCCATTTCAGATTAGATTAGCTATTCTATAACATTAGTCTCATGATAACACTTTTAATGGGGACCAATTCTCATTATCTATTACCTATGACTTTTTCCTCAATAAACTCCTAATTTGCTGCTTATTAATAGTTATTAAGGTAGTTGTAGGATTAAGGGATCTAAAATACGCTCATGCAGAATAAGACTTAATATGTGCTTTATAAGAACTAATATGCTAGTAGCAAATATGCCGCAAATATGCATGCTAATAAGCAACTAGTTAATAGTGAGAATTGGTCCCTACACTAAAGTGTTACCACTATGTGAATTTGAACATTTATTCTAGTTATAGTTAAATGAATGTTCTGTGATAGCAAACAGCACAGCTGAAATTGAGTTGAACCTGGAACACTCTTTGGAAGAATGGATAAAGACGACACTCCTTTATGACCAAGGACTAAATGTCTAGGCCTCGGCGGCTTTATTCAGTCTCGTATTCAACTCTTCGAGGATTCACAACCCAAACGATCAGAATAAATCACACAGACGAAACCAGTATTGAACAGAGCTGAGCCCGGCAGAGTAACCGCAATCAGTGCAAAGACAGTTTCCAGCTTTTTAAGGTCATCATTTCTTTTCAGGGTGCCTAGACTAAAAAAAAAAAAACCTTACAGTGATAAGATTAATGCTGCATGATAGTGCTCACATAAGAAAAATTAGAAACTATGTGCATATACATTTCAGTCTGTTCTTCACATTAAACTTTTATAGCTTCAGAGGACTTATAGACTAGTTTTATGATACTTTTATAGTGCTTTTCTGTCCTTTCTGGTCACTGACTGCATGATAGTGCTCACATAAGAAAAATTAGAAACTATGTGCATATACATTTCAGTCTGTTCTTCACATTAAACTCTTTTATAGCTTCAGAGGACTTATAGACTAGTTTTATGATACTTTTATAGTGCTTTTCTGTCCTTTCTGGTCACTGTATGGAAAAGAACAGTGCGGACATCTGGCTACATTTCTTTTATGTTCCATGGAAAAACATACAAGTTTTAAATGATATATGGTCAAATGATGACAATTTTCCTTTTTGTTTGAATGATCCTATTGAAATGATGATAAATATAGTGTCTGATATTGCATAAATCATTTGTCCTTGTAACGGTCAGAAGCTTTATCAGTAAAACTGAGAATACCACACACTTTCCCACTCTCAGGACTTTACAAAATTGTGATTGATAGTTTTAATTACAGCAGCAATAAAGAAGGCTCTTCTATTGGATAAGTAGATGTATGATTAATAAACACTATTACTGAGACATAAGGATACTGTCCTCAAGTACTCTTTGCACTTTATCGCCAATAATCAAATGAACGCTGTGTGGAAAAATGACATACATGAATATGCTAATAGACACCCGCCACACGCAGAGACACACTCAATATCCATGAACTGTGCTGTACACCAGCTGAGAGGATAACTGTTAAGGGATAATTCTCTAACCGACACATTTTGAAGTATATTTATTTAATGGGTAATTTTACAAAACGGGTGCTATCTGTGACCATCGTGTGTGTGTGTGTGTGTGTGTGTGTGTGTATATACACAAACACTGTATATAGTCACACTTTGGTTTGAGGACCAATTTTCACTATTATGACTTTTGCCATAAACTCATAATTTGCTGCTTATTAATAGTTATTAAGGTAGTTGTGTTAAGTTTAGGTATGGGGTGGATTAAGGGATCTAAAATATGGTCATGCAGAATAAAGCATTAATATGTGCTTTATAAGCACTAATAAACTGCCAATATGCTTGTGATGCTAATAAGCAGCTAGTTAATAGTGAGAATATGTCCCTAAACTAAAGTGTTACCATAAATATAAAGATGTTAGATGAAAAAAAAAATAGATAAGTAAATAAATAATGTAATATATAAATACATTTGTGTCCCCAGAGAAGTCTATTGGATAAGTAGATGTATGATTAATAAACACTATTACTGAGACATAAGGATACTGTCCTCAAGTACTCTTTACACTTTATCGCCAATAATCAAATGAACGCTGTGTGGAAAAATGACATACATGAATATGCTAATAGACACCCGCCACACGCAGAGACGCACTCAATATCCATGAACTGTGCTGTACACCAGCTGAGAGGATAACTGTTAAGGGATAATTCTCTAACCGACACATTTTGAAGTATATTTATTTAATGGGTAATTTTACAAAACGGGTGCTATCTGTGACCATCGTGTGTGTGTGTGTGTGTGTGTGTGTGTGTATATACACAAACACTGTATATAGTCACACTTTGGTTTGAGGACCAATTTTCACTATTATGACTTTTGCCATAAACTCATAATTTGCTGCTTATTAATAGTTATTAAGGTAGTTGTGTTAAGTTTAGGTATGGGGTGGATTAAGGGATCTAAAATATGGTCATGCAGAATAAAGCATTAATATGTGCTTTATAAGCACTAATAAACTGCCAATATGCTTGTGATGCTAATAAGCAGCTAGTTAATAGTGAGAATATGTCCCTAAACTAAAGTGTTACCATAAATATAAAGATGTTAGATGAAAAAAAAAATAGATAAGTAAATAAATAATGTAATATATAAATACATTTGTGTCCCCAGAGAAGTATGCCAACCCTGTTATCATTTTGGTAATGCAGGATAAAATGTCTTTTTAAAAAATGAATAATAATAATAATATAAAATAAAATTGCAATATATTAACCTAATCCGTTTTTGAGGAAATGAATCTCTTCAAGAATGCTTCCGTTTTTTTAATCACGTTATCTGATAGTTTTTGGTTTCTCATAAAGAGCTGAGCTGAATGTCAACCGTGTTACCATGATTTTGTTTCATAAACAACTGATACTTGTAAACTACTTGATACTTGTGGAAGCAGCTTCAGATTATCTTTCTATTAAGCTCCTTGTAGTTTCAAGCCTTAACTGTCATATTAAACAGTGAAAGTGTCAACCCTGTTACTGTCAACCTTGTTACCTTTTTAAAGGCATAAATGTATCCCAGCACATTATGCTTATTTATATATTAAAAACAATATATTCATTTAGCTTGAGATGGTACAATGCAATTAACACTTGTATACATTATTTAATTATTTTAATAAAAACATGTACTTTAAAAATCACCATTTCCATTTCATTTAACGGCCTCATTACACTCAATTAATCTTGGAATAAAGGTCATTCTGCGTCTCTTTAACTGGCTCGGTGTCTTTATCAGTGGAAGTTTTCAGACAGACAAGTCTCTCAGACCTCACACAAATGATTCATTTTCACTTCCATCTCGAGTTCTGGGGCACACCATCCTGGTCGCCCGGTTGGCACAGCCCACTAATCAGCCGTGACGTGTCTGGCGGGTAAACTATAAAATGTACGAGCCAATGGTGATTCTATTGCCAAGGTGTGCGTAGAGGGTTGATACATATGTTTGTTCATCCACTGTTTTAATGTCTTCATCTTTACACACAACATTTGAGTATTTACAACAATTCCCCTTTTAATTGTGTTTCCTCAGCTGATAAGGCTGAGTGTTTCAAGGTACATAATGAGACGAGACGAGATGACACAACCTGAGAAGAACGAGATGAGAGAGGAGAAGAGACAATGAGAAGAGGGATATATGAGAGAGAAAGCTACAACACTGATATGACGGAGTTGAGTTGAGAAGAGAGGGACGGGACAGTATGAACTGAATTCGAGACAGTAGCTGCGATGAGGGTAGACAGCGATGAGACTGGCTCTCACCGTGCAGTGGGTCTGCTGCTGCAGCACTGTGGGCACGTCTCCTCCGATGGGCATCTGTTTGTTCAGTTCCTCATCCTTCACACTGATCCAGCAGCTCAGTTCCTCCAGGACTGACAGAAGAAGGTTCCAGCGCTCAGCACTGGCCTCCAGATGAGCCCTGCACACACAATTACACATCCATTCAAAAAATCGTACAAATCTTGGTACTAATGAAGATGTTACATTTGGAATGCATCAGGATTCTCCCACAAACACGTGGTTGAACACAACAGTTCCAACAGTCTTTCTCTGAACAGAATGAGTGCAAAAGGTGAAACTTGTGTGTGTGTGTGTGTGTGTGTGTGTGTGTGTGTGCGCGCGCGTGTGTGTGTGTGTGTGTGTGCACAAGGGTTAACAGTGCAAGCATTTTACTCACATATGTGATTAAAAATATATGTGCGAGAACTGTAAAATGCATTTAGGGGGATTTGTGTGAATAAAAAAAAACCTGGATTATAAAATGTAATGTCATAAAAGTCTTAAATATCTTACATGGTGTAACAAACGAAGAGGTGTTAAATTTGGTGAAGGAAAAACGGGATTCTCCATACAACCTAATGTGATTATTAAAGGGGTCATATGATGCGATTTCAAGTTTTCCTTTCTCTTTGGAGTGTTACAAGCTGATTGTGCATAGATAAGATCCCTGAAGTTGCAAAGACTAAAGTCTCAAAACTCTTTGTGTCCTTTTATTAAAGGGAAACACATTATACATTTTAATTGCACCCCTAAAGTTTTTCTAATGCACTCATTTTTTTAACTTAGAAAAAAGAAGTGTCAAGCCCTGGTGTGTGTGTGTGTGTGTAAATGGACATATCAGCAAGACTTGTAATTACACGTGTTCACTAATCAGTGCCTAATTAGATTAGAACACAATTACACTGTTTTCCTCTCTCTCACACACACATTCACACTCTCTTGTTGGTCCATTTGACCATTTTAAATGGTACACACACACACACACACACACTCAGATCGACAATAAAAGTGAAACACGGCTCCATCTGTCCTTACGAGTGGCTCTTACCATTAATGTGTGAGCACTTGAACTTGAGGTTTATGTGTGTGTGTGTGTGACTGACCGTATATTGGCTGATTTGGCCTTCAGGTCGTTCCAGCGCTGGTTCATTTCATCCAGTCTCTGTTGGAGGAAAACTGCTTCCTCTGAGCTCCCCTGAAGACATCATTATGAACCTCGATCTCCGCCTGGATGTCCTACACAGAGAGAGAGAGAGAGAGAGAGAGAGAGAGAGCGACTGCTTTAATTGCACTGTTACCACCTTCATTATGTGGATTCATTAAAAGGAAAGATAAATAAATCAACAAAGACAAACAGAGATGTTTCCACACCTCCGCTGAGGGGAAAGCACACAATTAAAGCTGTCAGTCTGATACTGAACCTCTCCACACACACACACACACACACACACACACACACACACACACACACACGCACGCACACACGCGCACACACACACGCGCACATGTCTGGACAGCTC